TACTATACAAAGGGTCAACTATCAGATAACTTTATCAATAAATTGTAGCGACTAATCATTTCGGAATTTCGTTGTAACAGATATTGTCTGGCAGTAGGTTTACTTGAAAATTTATTGGATGGTTCTTAATTAATATTTCTTCTTGATAGTTATTTGATAGGAATTTATAACTAGTTAGTATAATAATGCCACATATTTGATGTTATAATAATAATTAAATAAGATAGGTAAATGCCTTGGAAAATTTGTAGGTTACTTCGCAAGTCGTTGAGGAGTCAAAAAAACTTTACTTGTAAAAACTTTACTGGTTAAACAAAAAAAAAAAACAGATTCAATCGTTGTTGTAGCTCTATATTTTAAGTTGTCCATAGAGCTTCTACATAGACATTGATGAGGACTTTATTTCTCTAATCTAAGATGCATTCAACTCTACAATATATCAGATGTAACGATGAAAGTACGGATAGATTGTGTGAGAGAGGATATGCGTAGAAAGGGTAGATTCAGATATTACGGATGATACAGATGCATGGAGTAGTGCATACTGTGACCCTCTGTAGGTACAAGGGCAGGTTGATGATGATGACGATGATAACTAAGAGAAGATATTATGTCAACCGTATTTAGGTGATGACAAAAGTAAACTCAAAATTTTCAATAAATTAAAGCAAATGTATACTAATAAATTCACTCGAAATAAAATACATCAAATGAAATGTTGTCTGAAATAACTCGAGGCACGAAGTTAGCGCGGTATTTCGATATCGGAATACACCGAGCTCACTTTGACGTCCGCTTTAGTTATTGAAAATTTATGAGCCGCGGCCTCAAATAATCTGTTTAATAGAACTTCCTAACCGACGACGACTTTCTCACTTTCAAATAAGATTTATTATGTTTTGTTCATTATTTAAAACAACTTTAAACTACTTAAGGACACAATTGAAGTTACTTTCACTTTTTTTTAAATAATAATATTAATCTTAGTGACAAATAATAATGGAAACGAGTAATGAGAAATAACAAATGAGAATAACAAGTATCTTCCTTGTGTCGTATTAATATATTACGTGAAAACAAGGCATTCGTACTTGTCATGTCTTTGGTATCCTTTTCTAGTCTTTACTTATATCATAAATATATACTTATACTAGGCCCGCGACTCCGTCCGCGCGGAATTAAAAAAAAAACTTAATTAGTAGCTTATGTGTCCTTCCAGCCTTATCTTCTATAAACTACGCCATATTTCAGCAAGGTCCGAGCATCCGTCCGACCTTCAAACTATAATCCATCTATCCATCCATCTTAACATTCGTATTCATATTATTTCTAGCTGTCGCTCGAGATTCCGACCGCGCGGAAATAAAAAAAATAGCTGCCTATGTGTTCTTCCGGGTTACGTTCTACATCTATGCCAAATTTCAGCGATAACCATACGTCAGTTCTGAAGATACTTTCAAACGTACATCCATCTAAACATTTGCATTTATAATATTAGTAACATTATATAGAGGAATTTAAATGTTAACCACTGAACCGACAAGTAATGGTTTAAAATCATCATAGATTTATGAAGTAATTATTCTCGAGGCTAACGACGATACTTGTAATAGATACTTTAAATTAATTAATTACTATTCCTGGAAATTTCCTGAGAAATATACAACGTCCTTAATTACACAGCTTCAGTGGGTCCTCAAGGATAATGGTTATGTCCGTTAAAACAACTTTTCCTAGGAAATTATTTCTCTTATATTGTCTTTTCATTTTATTCTTTCAACGTAGATTGTTTACATTTGATTAGGGTTTTAATTGATTTTTCAATACTTAAAAATATTTTGTGTTACAATGTAAAATAAAAAAAAAACTATAACCATTTAGTATCCGATTCAGCTGCCTTAGATCCTATAGTAGCAGCTGCTCCTTTTTTATTTTTTTTTTGTTTTTGAAATATTTTCCCTACATTCCTTCATATCATTTTATATCATCCATCCATCATCATTAACAGTAGTAGAACCGGCTTTAACATCTTCGCACGAATTGGCCCGGCTCGCCCGGTGAAATACCACGACCACACAGAAGACAGGCGTCAAGTGGAAGCAATTCCGCGTTTCGTGTGAAGAGTGTGTGTCCTGGAGGCCTAAATTAGTCCTCTTTCCCTCCCCACCCTTTTTGAGAGCATGCATAGGAAGGGAAATTATTTTCTTTCTGTGCATCCTCTCCACCGTCGCTTAAAGGTAGGCAACGCATATGCAATTGGGTTACGGTCACTTCGCTATTTCAGCGATTCACTTTAAAGAGTGGTGTTGAAGAATATCATCAATTTGGAATACTTAATGATAAAAATTCAGGTTATAAATAAAACATAATTTCACACTTAGATCATCGAATGATTCTTTATTTACATGATGATTTCCCGGTGATTCCTTCTAACATTAAGAAACATCACAGAATGTTGTCTAAAATAATAATAAAACAATTTTCTAGCTTAATCAGTTTTAACTTAAATATTAGTCTATGCACTTCACAAAACACTTTTCAAGAAGTTTATAAATCGAACGATAACCTTGTGCTAACAACTTTGAAATCAATAAATAAATCATTTCTTATAATAAAACTAATTAAAACAAACAAATAATTCTATGCAGTCAAATCTTCACTAAAGGCCGTAACATATTATAGATTCAAATTGATTTAAAATCTTTAAAATTAAATTGTATATATGGATACGGAATTATTTGTTAAAAATAATAATAATAAATATCGCACAACAATGAACCATTTCATAAAACAAAAATATTACTAAATATAATACAATTACAATTTAAAATTGTCTAAAACGACAATCATTTAATCACTGTCTTCTGCAAAAATCATACGATGAAGTATAAATTTAAGGTACGCGTCGGACGCACCGCACGCACGGCTCGCAACGGAATTCAGATTGTATGATTTTACATTGCGCTGCGTTTATTAGCCCGCATAGAAACACAAAGTAAATCCGTTTAATCTGTGCGTGCGATACGTCCGGCGCTTGCTAATGGATGTGTACCTTTAAAATGAAAAGCTAAAGTGTTTTTAAACAAAACAAAGCTTACCAATCTACTTCTACATTTGTAGTACATGACTTTCGCTTCTATAATTTTAGTAGTGGCAGTGTTGGGATAATTTTTAAAAGGCTGTTACCTCATAAACGACGGATAAAGTTAAAATACAGTTAACAGTGGCTAATGGAAAAATTATATATGAAAAAACATGAATGTGGTGTAGTTTGTGTAGTTTACAATCTATGATAAACTTTTCTTTATTTTTTTTTTGTAGATCGCCATTTAAATTTATCTCGGAAACTGCTTTTATCAAGATATCCTCTCTTTCCTATAATAAATATTTCCGTTCCACGCAATGAACATCCGACATTCATACATCAACCATACGTTCCGTTCCCACATATATTTTGGCATCAACTATCACTGAAATAGATCCATAAATCATTATAAGACGAGAGGAGCAAGATAATTTATTCAAAGTTACGCCAGGACAATGGTCTAGTGAGCATTGACCCTTATACACGTTGTTGACATTTCTTAAAGGATTTTGAAAGTACCGTTCTCGACTGCGTAATTCAAAACAACAAATTCTGATTGGGCATTTACATACTGGATAATAAATAGACATTGTACTTAGTGATCATTTCATTAACAATTATCTTCACGTATGATATGTTAGGTTTGAAGTGTAATTTAAAAGACACTCGGTACAAAGTTTTGTGTCTGAAGATTACTGGTATAGTTCTATTCAAACATCCTGGCGGCGGTGTATTGAGCATGCCTCCGCATTTTGCTAGTCCCCGCTATACCTAATATTGTATTCTGTGCAGCACTCGCACGAAGTGAAGAGCCGCCAAGATATATGATAACTACTATAGCTTAGCTGAGTAGAGAGCTGAGGGACATTATCTGACTCTGTCTTATCTTGGTGTGTCGTATATGTTTGTCTCTTTCTTAAAATGCGTACAATATTTGCTTATTTCGTTATTATGGCGATTAATTGCATGTTTTTTTTAATATTTTCATTTAATAAACTATGTTGTGTAAATATTGAATATTAATAAACATTTTTTAATAGAATTGCGCTTTACTTTATACGATTCTATTATATTTCTTTATATATAGATTATTCGTTATGTAGGATGGATTATAATCAAATTAATAACATTAACTGTTAACAATTTTCTTTAAAGTTTTTAATCTACAATATTTAACAAATTTTTGTTGATTTTTATTTTCTCAACTTTTTAAATAGTACTGAGCAAATATCATTCTTAATAAAACTGAAATTGCTATATATAATATTTATTAATATGACACATAGCTATATTTGATGTAAATCTATACGAAACAATACACGAACACTTTGTTTTGTGGTTAAATAAATATAGTTACAGTTACTGATTAATTAACTTAATCATAATATATAAATTCTTTTATTAAATAAAAAGCGTTAAAATTTTTATTTACTTTTTCAACTAAGTTAAAATTTTTTGATAAATATAAAAAATTTAAAACAAACATTAAAGCTAGTTTTTTTTAACATTGTATATTGAATATCTGATAGTAAATACATAATATGATATTACATATGTTTGTTTTCTCTATTTAATTTTAAATATATGTAAATAATTTAAATTTTAACACTACAGAACAAAGTGTGCATGCTTTTTTTAAAACATTAATAATTAATAATTTATTATTGAACTAACATAACATTAAAAATAACGACTTAAAATGTTACATAATTCTAATTTCACTTAACCTTTAACTTCAAAGTTAACAATTGCTGACATTCGTTGACAACTTAAATATAAGTAATTTCATTTCATTAATTCGTTATTAATTCTAATTTTATAAGAACACTTCACATTTAATCTTAAGAATTGTTTAATAAAAAAATCTACATAATGTAATTATTAAAAAAGAAAAAAAAAACAAATGAAAACCGTCAGTTATCGATGAGCCACGCAAGCGACTAGACGTGTTCGTCCTGTACATCTGTCGAGAGAGAAAAAGAACATTTTAGTAATACTTCAAAATAGATTTTAAAATAATAACTATCGATTACCCTTCTTATACGGTTAAGTACAAGCATAACCTAAAATAATTTTAAATTTAAATATAAAATATATTATACTTATAAAGCTCGCAACTAAAAAATCTATTCAATATTAAAGTTATATTTGAAACTGAAATATTCTTGCAAAATCATAGAATAAATAGCATTATTGTTTTAAATTAAATCGCGTGATTTTTTTGTGGTATTTTTCTAATAAACAGAGAAAAGATTGTAAATGAATTCATATTTATTCTAATCAAGAAATTAAAGTTAAATCTGAAAATAAGCATAACTAGAATAACAATTTTCATGCAAGGAAATCTCGTTACCCAGCATATTGAAGAATTGTTAAAATACTTTTATTCAATTTTAATTAATTTTTAAAACAGTAAAAAATATAAACACGTAATTCTCTTAATGCCAGACTGTCAACACTGGCAACTTTTAATTTTGAAAGATGTCGTGATAATTAAAAAAATAATTATTCATATTCTTTGAAGTATAAAAATGATAGTAACACGAATATATTTAATAGTATATATATTTTAGTTCTACGAATTTCGCAAGTCACGATTAGAGTAGATAATTTTAAAAAAGGTCCAGATAAAGGTGAGGCTACATAGCTGACAGTGACAGTGCAGTGGGGGGGGGGGGGGGGACCATGCAATACATCGGAGAGAGCACAACATTTTATAGGGACTACAGGCAATCGGAAAATATCTCCCAAATTACTACTTACATCACAATCGTCAAACGTACCTATAATTTAGCGATAGATAAACTCTATCGTAGTTCAATGATCTTTTTCTCCTCTTAAAAAAAAACAATTTTGTAAAATAAATTTAAAGCCAATTAATAACTGAAACGATTTTTTATAATGTTTTTATTGAATAGATTATACATCATCTATCTTATATTAAAACAATTGTTAACATAGTTTCAAGTATGTGTTAACGAGATTTGACTGCATGAATTGACATTACAAAATTAAAAGTATTTATAAAATAGCATAAAATAATGCTTTCATGATATATTAACGCTACGTGAACGAGCACAAACCTTTTACAAGGAATTATCCAGCAATGATTTAATCTAAACACTATCTAATGATTTATAAATTGTGCTAATTAATTATGAACGTGATAAATTTGAAGACATTTTGCATCATTTAATATTAAAAAAAGCATAAATTTAAATCGTTGTAGCGCATCTTAATTAAACAATTGTTTATAAGATTTTATCATTAACAGTTTAAAGTACGAAAAAATTTACAAGAAAATAGCTAGGAATTCACTAATCATGTGATGTTTACAAACGTATAGTATCATTTATGAATAGAACACATATTGCTAGAAGTATATCTAAGTCAGTCTAGTGGGAATTTATAGTTTAAAGATATTTACAAATGTCAGGCTGATATTGTGCAGATACAATACGAGTGAGGTAGAACGAAGACATTAGGTGTGAAACATCCAAATTGGATAGGGAGAGAATATTGAAAATTTCACTTCGACCTTAATAATTAAATATAAACTATGTCTATTGATTAGATAAAGATTTAATTCAATGTGGTTTATGATTAATTTATAATTTAACGAATTATCGGATTTTCTTGTGGTATTGATTCTAAGTCAATTATTCATTGTGTTATACTAAATTTACCCTTAAGTCCAAACTCATTCTATATTCACCAACTATAAAAGGAACTGTTGTTTTCGATTTAGTAAGCGAATTAAATCTTTGTGGAATACAATAAAAAATCTACTGCTTTTTAGAGACAGTTATTACTTAATATGTGTTTGTTGTAACCAAAAATAAAAGTCCTGAAAGGTCTGTTATCATCTTTAACTAACAGTAATGTTTTAAAATCATTTTTTTAGATTTTACTATTGTAATTTTAATATTAATTTATTTTTATTCAAATTTCAAATATGTTATATGTTAATTTTAATGGGAGATCAAATTGAGAATTATTATTCGCAGTGTATGGAAGTAAACATAGGAGTTATCACATGAGATATTTTAAAAAACACAAAGTGCATTTTTACGATAACGTGAAGTTCTATTGAGAAATTATTCAATTTATTAAATATTCCCTTAAATATTTATTATTAATCACTGAATTTACATTTTAATAACGACAACATTTATAAATATTTTAATTATTGCATAAAATTTAAAAAACGTACAACCAATTTTTACAATTTATAACAGGTATAAAGACGAATGGAGGAATGGGATGAGAGATTGCTCGGATGGTTAAGGATTAGGATTTTTCAAACCAAAGAATTCCAAAATGATATATTCAAAAGACGAGTTATGAAAGAAATATCACACTGGATTGAGTCATACCCGTTACTTTAGTCAAATAGTTAGGTTAGGTTAAAAGGTGATTTTAATAATCTTATTAAAACCCTGAAAAAAATTAAACAATAAAAATGAAGCAAAATAATTATTATAAAATTCCATTTATAGGCACGAGGTTACTTGGAAGGAATGGTTAGAAGTTTTAGTGAAGTATGATTTGCTAAAATTTTAAATAAAAAATTAACTGTTGTTTAGTTGCTTTGGCGGGCATGACTTTATCCACACAAAGGAAAACCAAAAAAGGTGGAATAATTAGTAGTTTGATTTCCGCAAATCTATGACTGGCGCGTGTTGCGGAAATAAGGAAGAAAATGAGTTTATAGATAGCTTTCTGAGAAATCGAGATCGGAGACGGAAGCGCGCGAGGATCGCGTGTAGTTGGTGGAGGTGCCGTAGTCGGAGGTGGCGGTAGCGAGGTCGGCCAACACGCCTCCACCTCCACCGCCCGTACCTTGCGTCACGTCCGCTGCAGCCTCTCGTTCCGCCAGCTTCTGCTTTAGGACGCGAATACGCTCTTCCTTCTGCGAATTTTAAACAATTAATAATTTCAAAGCTCACGCATCTTTGATCTTTCAAATCTATAATTTAGGTTTTTGTTGTTAAAAATAAGAAAATAGAAAAAAAAGAAGTAAAATAGAAGTAAGCAACTCTGAGCTGTGGAAAAAATATGTATTCTATAGATCAATAAATAACACAATACCTGTGCTATAAGCTTTTGCAGCTCTTCGTTTTCTTTGACAAGTTCGCGATACCGCTCTTCATCAGCAGGAGTGGAACCGGAACCCGAACCGCGCCCACTTTCGGCGCGCTCAGTTGGATGTCGTATCACTTCTATTACCTTTTATACAAATATATATTTCATTTAGACAAATATAATAAGTAATTTCAGCTGAATGCTCACATTTTGCCATTCGGGCTATGAAACATCCCTGTCACCTTCACGGAGTTTATCGTCCTCTACCATTGTTAACTCTGAGAAGTTATATTACCTATACAATTTCATAGATATAATGGATGGAATTCAAAAAATATTTTGGGCACAAATATTAGTTATTCCTATTATTAAATAACTCACGTGCTTAATTCGCACCTATCATTATACGGGTAGTACAGATGAATACGTGCGATACATACCTTTGGAATGAATATTAGAGCCATGCTAAGGAAACAACAAAAGACGATTGCGAGGGACACAAAAGCGAAGGCGGCATCCTGCTGACTCGCAATCACTAACGTAACGGGAGCCGTGATGAGGCACAACACAACAACATTGTAAATGCTCATCCCAACGTATCTCGAATCATTTATTTGGCGGATCTTAACCGATCTCGTCTCGTAAGCTAGGAATAGACCGAATACCAAAACAAGGCCCTTGTAGCCGTACATCACACCTAAAACAAAAGGAATATAGTAGGATTTGTATAAAAGCTAACGAGAGAAAGCTACTAAGTGTTAAAAATTTTAAAAACATAGAGAATATCCCTTTATCGATTTGGTATGTTAAAAATTGCTTTTCACGAGGATTTTGTTATAGAAACTAAGTGGAGAGCTTGTTAAACTTCGCAACCAACTTTAACTGTCTTACCTAGCCATATAGTATTATGTTCACTCTCGCAGTGTTCTAGCTCAGGTCTGATGTGTACATCATCGTCATGATGTCTCGGTGCCTCCAATGCGAAAGTTTCTACGCGCCTCTGCAGCGGGTCTCGCAGCTGCCACGCCGTTAGCAACACAATATCCACCACTAGCAAACCTCCGACCATTGTGTATAACTTCCAGCCGTGTACGCGTTTCTAAATAAAAAACAAAACATTAATTATATTAAAAACTAGACAATATCAACTTAACGGAAGCAATTTTCGTTTGGTAGTTAAAGAATTATGCTAAATAATGTAACGCATAAAACTGTTCTTAAAGCACCAAAATTTATAATAAATACTTCTTGCACAGACTTTTAATGCGATTCTATTAAAACAATATTTTATTTTCTCAAATAATAAAATCTAGCTTATAAATTAATTCCTTATAAATGAAAAAACCTTCGAACCAATATTATCTATAAGTCCAGTGGTAACTTACGAACTTTAGTACCGCCCGGGATATCGAATTTATTATTCCCCCTAAACTTTATCAAAGTAACAAAGTAACTGAATTGCCGCTTGGGATTTCACACCGCAAGCTAAAGATCAAAGCGAATTCGGATACATAATTTTAGTTACTATGTTACAATTTTACAAGTAACACGGTTTTTAAAATATGTCTTTAAGAGAAGTATTACTTAAGGCGTTAATTACACCGCAAGGTGAATTAAGTGATTTGCTCAATAGTTTAAGTGTGAATTTCTTACACCGAAACCATATTAAGGAACTTATTGACCATTTAACGGTTCTTGAGTGCGGCAGTCTGTCACATTTAATGCAATTGAAATAAATGAAATGAAACATTTGCTTAATACCTTGGTTTCTGTTTTGGGCTTTGTCGTATGTCTATGCACACGCCACACTTTTGTGAACATAGCACCGTAAGCCATGGAGAAGCCGATGGCAAGGAGCCAAGCTCGAGCCGCACATAGTCCCGTGTAGTGCTGAGGCGTCACCCAGCGTCCGTCTATGCCAAGAGCTATCGCAGCGCCCAAACACACGCAGCAACCGCACAACATCACAGTGTTACAAGCTGGATGAGACCACTGAATGACCCTGTGGTTAATAACATCGATATAATATAAACAGCAAAACTAAATAGTTACTTATAGGCTAATTAAACAATCTGACTTCTCATTGAAGAATAAAATTTTACATATTTGAAAGTTTATGATTCCCTACCTTCTATGCATGTGCATTGTATTAAAGACGATCAATCCGATGGCTGCCAAAATTCCAGCTATACAAAGCGCTGTCATACAAGCAAACAGTGGTAGTGAAACAGTACGCAGTTCATTTACCACTACTGTCCGATCCGGAGGTACTTTTCCACCTAATAAAGCACAGAAAAAAAACATATAATAACATCTAACAATTATAAGTGAAATAGACTTTAGAGGTGTTCTAAAGTCAAAAGTCTTTAAAATTATTGTGTGAACAACTTTCACTATTTTATCCGATTTTTTTTTAAATAAAAGTACTTACCAACCCATTGTTCTTTATCTAACCAGGTTAGATTATCAGCTTGTGTATCATAATATCCAAGCTTCACGTAATGATTGTTAGAAAGTTGTTCTATCTGAGTTAGTGCTATTCTGTCTCCTTGGGATGAAAATGCAACCAAACCCTACAAGAAAATATCTCATCATAACGACTTCATATTACCGATCATCATCTCAACAGCGAACTGTTTAAGGACTTACAGAAACGCCCAAAAACGACGTTGAATTAATAGCTTCATAAATATCATCAGCAATTTTCTTATTAGTGTAAGTAAAGTTTTTCAAGCTCAAACCATTCTTTTCCAATTTCTCCATAGTCTTATTGAAAGCTAGAAGAATAAACTTTGATTATAGAATCCAGAATAATACCTTGATTAGTTAAATAATTTTATAGACAGAATATTACCGAGTGCGACAGCCCAAACAGCATCATATGCTAAAGGTGCTTCTTGATAGCCTTCTGGAAATCTTTCGCCATCGATGTCGTAACCAGCTTCTCTAAGAGCTTCATTCAAACGAGACCTGGATACAAATTATTTGACATAGATTTAATCAATTCTAGACACATGTCGAAAATATTTGGTGTAAAGAAACGAAATTACTAGAACTAAATTATTAAAGATTTAATGTAATTGAAACTGCATATTAAACTAATCTGTTTACCTAAAATCTTCAGATGTCATTCCAGATATCGTTGTCTGATTAGCATTTTGGTTCCACATAAGAGCTTCTGTAGTCAAATGACCCTCGGCAGCTTCCCGCATCTGCTCTACAGTACAATCTATGCCTTCGCGTTCTAAATTTGTCTCGAACCAATTATCTTCATACCAACCTATGGCATTCAATAGATTTATAAATTACTGGAATATCGTTTTATAATAATTAAACCACGAATATTTATGTATTAATAATTTCGGTCCGGAGTTTACTATTGATAGTTCAGTATTAACGTGCTATAAATAAGTAAAGTTCAACACCACAAAGTGAACTAAATCACTATGAACTAGGTAGTTTGGGAGTCAGCCAGGGTGTATTAAGATATGAAAATTGGATCCCCGCTTTGTTTAAAGTGAGTTAACACAGAGTTAGTTCATTAATATGGATATAAACTTGATATAACAATTATTTCGTTTCAGTGAGTACGTATATTTTACTATCTATAAAAAATCTATTTAAATATTATTCATCTTAAGATCATTTTTCGTAACCTTAAATTAATTAAAATTTACTTCAAGTCTTTAGAGAGTAAATATCATATTCATTATAAGAAATATTGCTTAATTTAATTCTAGATTTTAATCTAGTCTTATATGTTGCAATTACTTTGTCTTGTTTGTTTAAAACATTGTTACTAGACATGGATATGAGCGTAATGAAGTAACTTGTTTAGCTAACATCAGTTAGGTGTCTCATTGTAGCGAAATAGCGGCATAATTTAATTAAATCTCGCAAGGTGTGGCGTAGTGGCATTAGCCACAGTTAAACTTAATGTAGGGTCATATAAAACGACAGTACACAATAAAGTAAAACAGCAATAAACAGATAGAAAATAACAATACAGTATACGAATTAAAATAATTCTTATGTTGATTGCTTATTTCCTTCGAAGATTTCTAAAAGGTTATTAATTTGAATTACTGCTATAATAATATATGAATATAATTGACAAGAGCTTTTTTTTAAATAACCGTTTGTCAAGTCTTCTAGAAATTGGCGTGAGCCATTTTTTTTAGTTTCTTTTAGAGTTCCTAATTCATTGTTTCGCCTTTTACATTCCTTCTCGTTTAGATGTGTACTTACCTATAAAAAACCAAACGTAAGATTTTCCGTAGAGACGATGTTTGTATACTTCGCATAGGACACGTCGCGCTGCGACCACATAGAACAGTCCCACGATCACTCGAGCGTCCTGTCTCCGTAGATTGCGTACTGCGTCGCTCGGATCCGAAAGGAAGGACTGTCTGGTCACAATTTCTATACCCGATTTCTTGCAATGTGCCTCTAAATCATCGACAGTCTAAAACAAAATAAAAAAAATTATGTCCCCGTCTTCAGTCTTTCTAAATTTATATATTTTTTTAGACTTCTCTGTGTTACTTAAAATCAGGAACATCTATATATTTTTTGAGCCGTTTATCAATTTATTTTTTCATGAAAAGACTAAGGTTCTTATATTTTGCTTTCATTTGTATATTTTGTGGTCACCCCTTTAATGGTAGGCTTCGAGCGATGGTGGGTACGTATAGTGGGCTGATGATGATTTTGCGGTCTGTGACGTGGGTTCCTGGTAATCTATCGCACAAGGTATCACCCTAGTTTGGATACCAGCCCATAGGAGAAAAATAATAAAGTTGTTTTATTTTTTTTACTATTTTCAGGTTTTACCCCAGCTGGATACTGAACCCAAGACTACCTAGTAAATTTTACTGCAGTTCTAAGGGTTGTGTAAAAACTTTATAAATGTTTTGAGCTTTAATAAGATAAAGTTGTTTAATTCATTGAAAATTTTGAACTTCGTTAAAAGTTTAAAACGAGTTAATGGGATTTCCAAAAAGAAAACAAATTCTTATCTTAATTGGTTCATTATTTTTTTTAATAATCCATAAATTCTTTGATATTATTTACTTATGAGTTCTCTGAAATATAAATACCACTATGATACTTATGTACATTAAAACAAACTTACATACGTGTGAAAAACATTAGCCTCCTGATTCGGTCGAATAATTTTATTAAATCAGTCGAATAATATATAAATTTAAATACTTTTATAATATAAAAATGCCCATATCCACCAACGCATTAATAAAAAATATCACCGAGTCGTTAAATAAAGTATACGACAATGTAAAGTATAATAATAAGAAAACAGGATATAAAATAGATGTATTCGTTACATTGTGCACAAAGTACCTTCATTGTTGTGTCGTGCGCAAAGACATTTAAAAAATATAAAGACAGGATCTGAACAGAACTAAACTTTTACGCTGGTTCTATCTCAGTACTGGTTCTATCTTAGTTGTCAAGTTTGATATACATATTATATTATAGAACGGTTGCCATCTATTGTTAAATCTATATATATAAAAGAAAGTCGTGTTTGTTTCACTATTTATAACTCAACAACGGCGTTACCGATATGACTTAAAATTAATGAGGAGGTAGCTTAGAGCCAGGAGACGGACATAGGATACTATTTATTCATTTTTTTTGGTTTTTTTTTTATATAAATCCTCGCGGACGGAGTCGCGGGCGACAGGTATAGTGTAATATAATAAATTGAAAATATTTAAAACAGCTATACGTATGTATTTATGTTACATATTAGAAGCTCTATATGGGAATGGTTTATCGATGTTATTAATATCTTAACACCACCTTATTCTATCCAAATAATGTATTTCAGATTCAATAATTGATTCTAATTGAAACTTATTACATTGACACGTGTTTTAATCGACTTCAAAAAGGGAAGTTTTTCAATTCGTTTTTTTTTTTGTTCGTCGATAACTCCTCCCCTAGTTGTCCGATTTTCAGAATTATTTATATATTTTTTGAAACATTAAAAACTATCCAGTAGTTTTTGAGTTATTCTAAATAATTAACTATTTAATAATCGCTACTATGGATTACTAGAAAAACTATATGAGGAATAGCAGGCGTTAGGTGGTCTCTATATACATGATATTAGAATCTCTTTGGTCACGTGAGAGCTTATTCACGTAACATCACTGTGAGTTTCCACTGTTGTAAGACTTGTATTACAACTCACATAATGCGAATTATCTTATTATATTCAATTAAATAGAGATACAATAAACATATTAATAAAAAAAAATTAAAAATGTTTCAAAATTCACTGTTACTATTTCAAAATACGCAATTTAATGAGAGAAATTGTACTATTAATGATAAAACATGTTATTATTATAAAGTATTCGCTTTCAATAACAAAATAATAGGGGTTTTCATACTTATTGCCATCGAGTAAATTATTTTCAGGCCTTTGGGATAATGGAATTTCTTCGGGTCTTAGAATTATATCTGGCAACCCAATTTACTTCTATATACTAATTATAATATTAAGCTAGATCTTAAACATAACTGTAGGTCTAGCACAAATATTTGTGATAATCGCCTTCGTACCGTTATCATAAAATGTGATAAAAGTATGAGATTTTTGATGTACTTCACGTTCGGTCGCTGCACTTTTACTACAAATTTCATTGATGATTCAAACAAATTTGTCATTCGTAACTCAAAATTCAACATTCTCAATTCGACCGTAGTTAATTCTTAAACGTAACATGTTCTATTATATCAATCAAATAAAAACTTGTAAAAAATAACTAAAAACAATGTAATAACTACTAGGGTGAGAATGAGAAATTGTTTTTTAAATAATATTGTTGAATAAAATTATTTAATAGCGTAACTAACTTACCGATATAAAAACTTCTTCAGCTTGTTGTAATATAGCGATTCTGGACCAGCCGAATTTTTGCATCAGTTTAATTCTTGTTGGGTTGTGCACTGTTGCTGAGGGATGGGTTCGGAACAATGTCGGAAAACGTGCACGGTCCGATAACGCTGGCGATGATGCACCATAACAAAGCTAGATAAAAAAGTTTAACAAATTTAACTTTGCGGTGGCGAAAATTGGAACTACAACCCCTGTAATGATATTCTAGTGATTGCAAGTGTTATCGCAGGCTGGCTATTTAACTGTGGAAAGACACTGTCGAAGCACATGTACATATATCCTTTTTATTTTACTTGAAAAAAACAGAGATAACGATAGTTTTTGTGTGCAGTTTTTTCGGCAGCAAACATTTACGCTTATTGATGTTGTGTGGCATCAATCTAAAATTTTATTTTCATAATTTTGAAAATGTATGAGTTTATGTTTTAATTATTTTAAAAGTGAATATTTTTGATTTATTTAACTTTAATTTGTACATATTTTTTTTACTATTTACGTTTATCAGTTTAACTAAAAGAGTTGGTATTTAGTTGAACAGAAAGTTTTAAAACCATATAAATTGTAATTAACTCGAAAGTTTAAGTAGTTAGTGTCTCTTATGGCGAGAAAATTGTTACTATAATGTTATGTAAGTAATACGTACGACCATTAGGTTCCACATCTTTGCGGCTTCGGCGACCGTGGTGCAAACTGTAGAACAACCGGCCAACAGCAACAACTTTTGCGGTGGATTGTATAACAAGTTGTACATTACACTTGCACCAAGTCCTGGTTCACACTGACAATAGAAACATTCATATCAAATTTCAATCTATTCCAAAATCGAAATAGACAGTTTACATTTTTTGCACTAATTTGAAAATCTTAAAATATTTCCGGAAAACACTTTTTCTTACATAAGTACTACTACTAATACAATAACATTTAATTTTAATCCACTAGTTGAACAAAATATAGAATATAATTAATAGTAAAATGGCCGTCATCTATGAAAGTTATTTGTTATCGACTACTATACTCAATAAGGTAAAACAGTAACTTGAAACGTCACTCCAATGACGTCACAACGACGTGTTCATAAAGTGTGCAAAATAATTAATGTTGTGAAATAATCTAATAAGACAAATGAACTTCATCATTTGCTGTACCTACGTGGGAAGGTGTGACGTACTTAAGTACACAGGGGCGTATCTACTAATACCATTCTTTTTAATCTCAATAGGCAATCTCTATGTTTTGATTTCTCAACTAACTCTATCCTAAGGGACGCCCTTGACGACTTCTAAACGACTTTACATGGCCCTAAGTAATGTATCTTTTCAGCTTACCTTACTGTCATTGCTGTGTAGTAGTAATTTAAATCCGGATAATAAATCAGATCTAGCGTTGACATCAGCAAGCGCCAGTTCAGCGGCCGGCATGCAAGCCTGACCGCCTTGCCATCCACCTTCACCTTCCATAGGAAATATCCCGCCGATATGTAAATCATTATCAGGCCGACCCTCGCTATATCGATTGAACCCACCCATGTACAAAAGCAGCAACATTCGAGACTTCTTTGCTCCACAACCTCTCCTTCCACAAATCCATTTTCCTACCTTATAAATAATACACTTGGCAACAACGAATAATTGCACTAAAGCATTCACTAACGATGTAAGATCGCAATGCAATTTACTAGTTCGTAAACTAAGGTATTTATTCACATTTGTTTTTAATTTGACTAAAGGACGCTTTGTATAGTGAAAGTTTACGCGCACTCTGGTGGATGCGATTATTTTAGTGTACATTTGCGCGGTCGCCCATACGAATGGTAGACATAGCCTAATGAACGGTAAATTCCGTATGTAATGTGGCATCGAATGTGTTGAGGGCGCGTGGCCCGAGCCGTGCTGGGTCATCGTTCGCGGCGGGGATATGCTGTCATTGTTGTACACCTCTCTCATTTTCCATTCTCCTTCCTGAAACAAGCAACAAGCTCCTATTATTGTCAGAAAATATAGCCTGCTATAAATATGTAGTAATAATATAGATCTTAAACTGTCAATTTATGCTCTTATGGTTACCTTCAGTGTTTAAAGTATCATATCACTTATCTAAAGGTGAAGATAAACTTTATGGATGGATTTATTACATAATTTATTTTATGCACAAACACGCACGCACACAAAGACGCACACACACAGAAACCTTTTAATTAAAAAAAATGGAAAATGATTCTGAGCATGTGCATTTTTATTTATATACGTAAACTAACAAGTCTTAATTAGGTTGCCGAAACAAAAGAACTTTACCATCAAAATTCACCGTTACAATTTTAACGCTGCAACGAGTACGTGGCTCATAACAACATAAGTTGGTAGGATCTTTAGTTTGACGTAACACGCTAGTTCCCAGACAGGCTGTAATGAGCAGTAGCTGCATCCTCCGTACACACGCCCACCTCGCATTGTTCCCGACATGAATATCAAATGCTGTTTGCAGAGCCATCTGCCGTGTAACGTATACATCAGCTATTATACAACTTTGATTCCACAAAGTTATCCGACTTGCTTCGTTAAATATTCAAATGTCGAATGAATTCGAGATCAAAGGATGTTTATTCCACCCCTTGCATAGACATATAATTTAATATCTAATTTGCTTTGCTTTCAGAACAAACACAGAACATTGTATTTAGTAAAAATCAATCTAATCTAAGCGTCGGTGGCTCAGAGGTTAAGCACTTGACTTGTAATCTGCAGGTCCTAGGTTTGAATCCCGCTATGTACAAATGTATTTTTCGAAATTCTATTTAATTATGTACATTTATCCGACGTTTTTACGGTGAAGGAAAACATCGTGATGTAAGCTGCAGATATCTGCGAAGAAATTTCAGAGATATGTGTGAAGTCAACCAACCCGCAATTAGCCAGCGTAGTTGACTAAGGCCTAGTCACCCCTTACTTAGGGTAGGTCCCTCAGAGGGGACGTATGAGCTGATGATAAATCTAATTAATTTGATGTAATTTTTAGTTTTATTTATAGAAAAAGTACATACAGAAATGATATAATTAATGCGAATGTTTAGATGGATAGATGGATGTTTGTTTGAATGTATCTCCAGAACGCCAGAACGGATCTCGATTAAATTTGGCATGTATACAGAACATAGTCTAGAAGAACACATAGACTAACTAATAATATTTTTTTTAATTCCACGCTGACGGAGTTGCGGGGACAGCTAGTTATGTGATAAATTCAGTAGTTATTGATCTAGCAAACGTAAGAGCCAGTTCTGTGTCGGTCACGTAATTTTGAAGTAAAATGAAATCTCTAGTTAATCCGATTGGCGCGACTCCAACTTGATATCTTTAGATGAAGATCTGTGTACTCAAGAGTAATTGCAATATTACTTGTTGCGAATTATTTTGCTAAACCGCAATATTTTAATCGTTATTCATGACCACATCAGCTGGAGTTATCAAAAACAAACGCTTACTTACTTTCCATTCTTGCACTGTCTCAATTCTTTTTTGAACGTTATGCATAAAGTTTAAAGTTTTTCAAAGGCTCAATTGTAATCAGATAGTCCCAAGACTAACAATTTGCATTAGCCTTGGGAATATTTAAATAAAAAACAAAGAAATCGAAATGTTTTTATTATCATGGTTTCAAAATAACCGCTACAACTTTTGACCGTAACGCATTTTCTGTTTTCGATTTTTTCTTCTTTTTTAATTTCTTTGCCGTTTCTTTTTCCTTCACACTTATACCCTTTCCACCGAATTCACGATGCAAACTCCACGGCATAGCTAACGCCCCGATTCCGTGTTCCCTCATATCTCTTACTTTGTAACGATTCCAAGCAAAGCAACAGACTCTTATCTTATCTTTACAGCCGGGTACCTCGGTTAGGAAGCGATATCCAGTGCAAAGTTTACTATCAATACAAATCCCACCGAGATTCCAACAAGGTGTAGTCATCATCGATCCTAAAGAACATTAATTGCGAATATTTAGAAGACAAATATTTCTATTCAATTTATCTTTACTGTTAATTATAAATACCAAAGTTTAGATGGATAGATATTTTTTAGAATTTTTTGGAAAGAATGACTGTATGGATCTTGCTGAAATTTGATATAGATGTAGAACATAGTCTGGAAGAACACATAGGCTACTTATTAAGTGTTTTTATTTTATTTATCACGGACGGTGTTGTCTCCTGCAGCAAGTATTCCATATCTGTATATTTAGCATACGTTCATATTAAAATTATTCTATTTTTTACCTGCGTGTGTAAGGTTGTTTGTATGTTTGTTGGTTTTTACTTGTATGTATGTAATTCTATTGTAACTTGTTATCTGAATGGTTGGACTAATTTTAGCGAACCAGGCGTTACTCAAAGTTATTTTTAAAATAACAATAACGAAGTAACAGCCCGAGCCGAAGCTCCTGAGGGAGCCCTCGAGTCTTGTTACTCTTAAATGAGGTTCAGGCTAAGCGCCATCTGCGCTCGGCCAACTCAACCGCGGTGAAGCTGTAAATGCCTCCTCAAGGCAAACAGTGACTTCTCAGTCACAAAAAAAAATAACAAATAGCGGGCTACAATATAAAATAGTTTGAAAAGACGTACTTCGCGAGGAAGCAAGAGATGCTAGGGCGGTGTGGTACGCCAGTAGTTCGGCTCGCAAATCTTCATATTCCTCGTCCGCTGATAAATCCAAATTAGCATCTTCCCTTAAACCAGTTACCAGTTTTGTACCAAACTCTTCACTACTTCTAACAGCTTGAGTATTTGGTGTTTGTTCTAATGAATTATCGAGCATCAACAGAACTAGAATAACTTCAAGCATTTCTGAAATTGAAACATTCTAACAAGAAATTCAAATCCAATATGAAAATTACGAAATGTATGATTTTATTGACGCTGTATAAATCTCGTGATAACTTTTCTTATTAAGCTGCGAATATTATTTTCATATAATATAAATTCATGTTTGTACAAATATGGTATTTTAGAAATAAAAGTTGGAAATAATCTTGCGATTTGATTGATAAATAAATATGTTGTCTCAAGCAGTGGTTCTAATGCCAGAAATTGAAACTTAATTGTTTAAAAACATCGTTCCCCTAGTTATATTTGAAAGATTTTCCCGCGGTGAAAGGTTATGGTAGGGTAAGATTGTAACAAAATGTGTCAGCACAATTTGACATATAAATCGTTGACCAATGCTTACCCTTTAATAGTATTAAAATAGGAATATGAGGTAAATACTGCAACTACATAGAATATAAACTAATCCAAACGATACAGTTGTTCCACTGATACGTCTACGATCAAAGTGTCTTGTATACGCATTGCGCGTTTTTGTTGCTATCTTAATTTTATTCAATATATTAATAGCCAAAGTAACGTATCAGAGATTGAATTTTGAACGTAAAATAAACGAGATAACGACACAAAGACACTATGAAAGTTAAAGTGAATTACAATCTTATAAAATTTCATGAGCGTCTAAGAAGTAAAACAATCTTTAGTTTTTCCTAAATAGTACTAATTTAATAAATATCTAACAAATAAAATATTTACTTGATGACAAATTTTCGATAGTCCAATTACATTACACGTAAAAACGTTCGTCTTGTAATTTTTTGGTTACACACTAATCACAGAGTTCCAGATAGATAGATAGTTCCAACATATTTACAGATGAAAAACAAATGAGGTTGTTTACAAAGGGAACTAGAAGTGTTTACATAAACTCCCGCCAGCCCGAGAAACTCGGTCGTGGTAAACAAGTAAAGTTTATACGTGGCCCAATCGATAAGAGACGCCACACCACTAAAGAATACCAAATATTGTTCGTTGGTTATATTCAAATTAAATTAAAATATTGATAAACGTAAAAACATATGAATAAAACTTAAACATATTTCAGTTATATATTTACAAAAAAAAACTTGTAAAATTCCATTTTTATTATTGTTTCGGACTGGGATGGAAGCTTATTTTTTTAAATAAATGTTTAAAGTCTTCATACACATGCCATAAAATAATTTCGATTGATTATTGGAAACGTTCTGTAAGGTAGGGATTACTCGCGTTCGCTTGTTTTTACTTATCTAACGCTATTTCTCGTAATGCATAATTATTTTTTTATTAGTTAAGTGCTAAAATATTGTGCCATATGTTATTAACGACATGCGTGGTATTGGTTCGCCATCCCCGGCTGAGTGCTTCCTCAAAGATTTACATTTATATCAAAAATATTTGCGTCTTGCTAAAAGCTTCATTCGTGTTATGAAGATGTTTAGAATATGCGTTTTCTGACGTCATAAGAGTATAGTAGACGATACGAATTCAAAATCGTATTTGTGGTATAAGCAAAGAGGTAACCAAAAACTTTGCTAATGTTTATTGGAAAATCGTTTTTTGGGAAGTTTGTTTAGGAAAATCATCTGTTTCCGACTTTCCTTAAAAAGGCAATTTCTTTAATGAGTACACAACATCTGTGTTAAATAATTTAAAAACAAAACGACTAAAAAGTTTATAAACAAAATACAAATCTTCGTATCCAATTTAAATAAAAAATGTTATCTTCCTAAGGCGGAAGAAATGTGTTTAATATAAAAATTTGGCGAGCACAGCCGGCCACCGTAGTTTGAGAAAATTGTTTACTTAATACATATAGCTCATAGAGGGCGCTGTAAAATAAGGGTGGGGACACACAACACAGCTGGCACGCCAGCATTTGTTCACTTTGAAATAGGGCCAATAACTGTAAAAGTTTTCTCCCTCGCTGTATCATTTATTCAGTGGCCTCGTATTTTATTAGCTGCTATAATTGGCATATAAAACCGCTAATATTCTTTGAGAATAAATCACTTCGTTCATTAAAAGCACGACTATTTGAATACCTCGCTGAATTTGTTCAGATTCATAATTTGGCATAAAAAAGCGATCATTTATTACTTT